GTGGAACAGCAATTACACCATTCTTATTTGCTGATCTGCAATACTTCTTAAATATTTTTTGAGACATTTAATAATATTCTTTTTTGTTTATGGTTAAGCTTAACAATTATTTTTCATGAGTCGAACATTCAGCACAACAAAATACCCCTAGAAGATCTAGAAAATCGTCTTTTATTTTAATATTGTGAAATAGAAAAATAGTTGCATTTTTAACTTTGGATTTTATTCTTGGAAGATCAAAAAAAAAAAAAGCTCCAAAATCAGTTCATTTTATAAGAAAATACAAATAGGCTGTTATACATGAATTTTCAAATGTAGCTACTATTTACAAGAGATGCACCTCATGATTATTAATAGTATTGTTGTATTTAGTTATTTTTAAACTTTATTTTTAAAATTTGTAAAATTGATTTAAACTTAGTTTAAATAGCGGCGATGTGGTGCAAGAAGGTCGCTGGTTTGAGCCCCGGCTGGGTGAGTTGGCGTTTCTGTGTGGAGTTAGCATGTTCTCCTTGTGTTCGTGTGGATTTCCTCCGGGTGCTCAGGTTGACCACACAAGTCCAAAAAAATTTTCTACTGGTGAATTGGGTAATCTAAAATTGTCCGTAGTGTATGTGTGTGAATAAGTGTGTATGGATGTTTCCAAGTGATGGGTTGCAGCTGGAAGGGCAACTGCTGCGTAAAACATATGCTGGATATGTTGGCGGTTCATTCTGCTGTGGCGACCCCGGATTAATAAAGGGGCCATGCTGAAAAGAAAATGAATGAATGAATGAATGAATAAACTTAGTTTAAATAATTTCTGTAAATCAATACCTAAGTTGTAACATAGAAGAGTAAGCAATTTCACAAAATTCTAGGAAATATCTTTGCTAAATAACAAATTGTGCACATCATTATCAGTCGACAAGCTTAAATTAGTAAGCTAGATAAAATTCCACTAAAAAGGCCTACCAACTATCACACGAAAAGACCTTTATTTATGTGAGTACTGTGACCTAACTGGAAGAAACTCCTACAGTTTTCCCAGCACAGCTCCTTCAGCAGCTCGACCATCTTGTCTCAGTTGTTAAAGGAGATGGCAGACCGCCAAATCAAAACAACTATTCAATGTTTTGACTCAGTGTTTTTTATCAGGAGGAGTTGAAATCCAGAAAAATAACTTAGTATCAGTGTACAGGTGCAAGGTCAGCTGAAGTGGGACAGAGTCTGATTGTGAAAGCGGTTCTACAAATATATTTAATATACTGATGAAAATGAATGTACTGAAAAATGAATGTATAAGTAAAATACTGATGAAAGTTAATGTAATACCAATATACACATCCTGTTAACAGTAAGTTATTTGTTGTTATTATTCTCTACACCATCAGTTTCTCCATATATAAGAAGCTGATCCTAAAATGAAAATCTCAAAATCGCACCTGTGCAACCGCAAAATGTTTTATTATGTATGTGTTTGTTTGCATGTATATATAATATACACACAGTTGAAATCAGAATTATTACCCCCCACCACCCACCCCCCTTTTGAATTTGTTTCTTATTTTAAATATTTTCCAAATTATGTTTAACAGAGCAAGGAATTTTTCACAGTATGCCTGATAATATTTTTTCTTCTGAAGAATGTCTTATTTGTTTTACTTCGGCTAGAATAAAAGCAGTTAAAAAAAAAAAAAGCTTTAAGGTCAAAACTATTAGCCCCTTTAAGCTATATTTTTCGATAGTCTACAGAACAAACCATTGTTATACAATAACCTGCCTAAACACCCTAAACTGCCTAGTTAACCTATTTACCTAGTTAAACCTTTAAATGTCACTTTAAGCTGCATAGAAGTGTCTTGAAAAATATCTAGTCAAATATTATTTACTGTCATCATGACAAAGATAAAATAAATCAGTGATTAGAGATGAGTTGTTAAAACTATTCTGTTTATAAATGTGTTGAAAAAAATCCTCTATGTGTTAAACAGAAATTGGGGAAAAAATAAACAGGGGGGCTAATAATTCTGACTTTAACTGTATAAATATATATAATTTATTCATTTTTTAGGTCATTATTATTATTAACTTCTTAAGATGACTTTATTTAAAACAAACAGAAAATCTAGTAAATGTACAGTATATCCTTAGTTTTCTGTTAAATTATTATACGGAAACTTAAAAGCATAAAAATATAAAGTGATAGTTCACTCTGATACATTTGAAGCTGACAAAATGTGCTACTCCTGTTTTATATCCTTATTTAAAGTGGTAGTTCATGCTGATCGACATTTAAAGCTGACAAGATGTGCTACCCCTATTTTATTAGATGAAGCATGACACATTGAGCTACTGGTACATTCTAGAACAGATCATTAGAACAGCCTGTCTCATTTTATGACTTTCCAGGGAGACTGGTGAGATTAGATCTCTGTGCTCGGCACTGTCCATTGTGAGACTTCTTGTGCAAACAATAATCTCAATGGATAAATAATACTAGAAACTGAATGGTTGTAGATGTAAACTGATATTTATTGTCATTCAACAAAATCAACATTTTACAAGCCTACTGCTTTGCAGCCTATAAGAATTTGAAGGTAAATTTATTTAGCATTTGATGTCATTTTTATTTAAGGAGAAGGATATGGTTCATTTACAAAGACTTTCAGGATTATGATTATATGGGCAAATTTAGGTCAGTAAGAACAAATTCAGAAATGCAGAAAAATAAATGTTGTGCTAGATTTCACATTTTGTGATATTTGAATTACAGATTGACTTTACTGCTTTTTTTTCATTTTGCATCCCACATTAGGCAGTTCACAGACAATACTCCTTCTTTGTATATCTGCAAAAAGTTTTGATTTATCCAGTTCAAAGAAAATAGGGTAATGCTTCACTAAACTAAACTTGATCACTTGAGCCATTCGTTCATTCATTCATTCATTCATTCATTCATTCATTCATTCATTCATTCATTCATTCATTCATTTTCTTTTCAACTTAGTCTCTTTATTAATCTGGGGTAACCACAGCGGACTCAACCGCCAACTTATATTTTACAGCATCTGTTTTACGCAGCGGATGCCCTTCTAGCTGCAACCCATCACTGGGAAACATCCATACACACTCATTCACTCATTTACACACATACACTATGGACAATTTTTGCTTACCCAATTCACATACCACATTGTGGGGAAAACTGAAGCACCCGGAGGAATACCCCATGAACACTGGGAGAACATGCAAACTCCACACAGAAATCCCAACTGATCCAACTAAGGCTCGAACCAGCGACCTTCTTTCTGTGAGGTGACAGTGCTACCCTGCGTCACCGTGTCACCTTACTTGAGCCAATATAAAATAAATAATTTACCTTAACCAATATTTTGTGTCCATCGAAACAATTGAGAAAAATCAATTAATTAACATTACGTCTTTGATCAAAACAAAAAGATAGATTTAATAATAAAAAATAATTTCTAAATTCTTTTTCTTTAATCAAATAAATATAAATGAATTGAACAAACATTTTTAATTGATTAAATATGTAAAAGTTACTTAATCCCAACAAAATAAAAATGCACACTTTACATTAACATTCAAAAAGGCTTTTTCCAAGCCAATCATTTAAAATGTGTTGAAACAACACAGTTCTTATTTTTTTTCATGGGAAAACTTGTGTTTGGGAAAACTTATGTTTAATACACTTAAATGTGTAAAAATGATTAAGTAACAGATTTGATTTGTGCTGGGACAACATGAAAAAAAATTGTGTGGAACCCAGCATTTTACACTGAATATTGTATACGGATGTTAATGTCATTTATTACAGTATTTATGCATGTTTGTTAATATTGAAAATAAAGTAACTCACAGTGCATTAACTGTATAAGAGCCAACTGTAAATGTGCTACTTGAATGATTACCTGTCCCTGGACCACAAAACCATTTAAAACGTCTATATTTGTGGGAATAATCAAAATATAAAATTGTATATAATTGTATATATGTGGGCGACGCAGTGGCGCAGTAGGTAGTGCTGTCGCCTCACAGCAAGAAGGTGGCTGGTTCGAGCCTCGGCAGGTCAGTTGGCGTTTCTGTGTGGAGTTTGCATGTTCTCCCTGCGTTAACGTGGGTTTCCTCCGTGTGCTCCGGTTTCCCCCACAGTCCTAAAACATGCGGTACAGGTGAATTGGGTAGGCTAAATTGTCTGTAGTGCATGAGTGTGTGTGTGTGTGTGTGTGTGTGTGTGTGTGTGTGTGTGTGTGTGTGTGTGTGTGTGTGTGTGTGTGTGTGTGAATGTTTCCCAGAGATGGGTTGCGGCTGAAAGGGCATCCGCTGCGTAAAAACTTGCTGGATAAGTTGGCGGTTCATTTCGCTGTGGCGACCCCGGATTAATAAAGGGACTAAATCGACAAGAAAATGAATGAATGAATGAATGAATGAATGAATGAAATTGTCCGTAATGTATGAGTGTGTGTGTGAATGAGCGTGTGTGGATGTTTCCCAGAGAAGGGTTGCGGCTGGATGGCATCTGCTGTGTAAAAACGTGCTGGATAAGCTGGCGGTTTTATGTGAAAAATAATAGAGTAAAGATTTTGTTCCGTGCAGACATTTTGTAAATTGCCCACCATAAAAAACATTATTTTTGAATAGATGCCAGCAAAAGTGATTGAATTTTAATAATTTCTTAAAATTCAGATTTTTTAAGCCTCAGATTAGATTTTTAGTTTTAATTAAGTAGCTATTTGTCTAAAAACAGTTAAATACTGTCATGTCCTGACAAAACAAACATCAATAAAAGGCTTATTTATTCAGTTTTTAGATAATTCATGTAAAAAACAACCACAGACAAAAGTCTCCGAGTTTCATTAAAATTTGACTTGTGAATCTTACAAAGCGATGGTCTGTCTGCGTTGTTTCACTTCTTCCTCCAGGCCATTTGGTGGCGCTGCTAAATCTTGCCCAGCCGCAGTCCACCGTAATCCCCTCCGAGACAAAGATGTCTGATTCGTTTCCTTTGTTGTGATATCGAAAAAAACGTAGTCTTACTTAAAATCTCAGCTTCTGGATTAAGAAATCAAGCAGTTGTCGTCTGTCGGTATTGATCAGCCGTAAAAATGAGTGGCGGAGTCTACGGAGGAGGTAAGTGCGGTTTTGGAGGGAGAATCAAATGAATGGATGCGCCACGTTTAAGAGCTCGCTAGCCTTCAAACTAGCATGATTTGGTTCTGTTATTATTTTGTGGAAACAAAACAGAGCCCATGTTTAAGTTGTTATCTTGTGTATAATGCAGAATACACCATATATTGCTAGCTGTGTGTTGTAAATATAAATAATATGAAGTAAGAGTTTTGTATTTTAACGAACTCGCGTGCACGATTGCCAGTTTATTGTATAGAAACATTAACTTGTGTTAATACTGTAACCTCATCTGTTTTTTTTTCATCTTTTCACAGATGAAGTTGGAGCTCTTGTCTTTGATATGGGCTCGTATTCAGTGAGAGCTGGATATGCAGGAGAGGATTGTCCCAAGGTATGAGCAGTGAGATGAAAACATGTATTGCAGGTGAAGCTGAAAATGTATTTGTTTACAGCAGAAATAAGATTTGTTTTGTGGATTTGTAGGCTGATTTTCCTACTGTGATTGGTGTGACTCTGGACCGGGAAGATGGCAGTACACCGATGGAGACAGATGGGGAGAAAGGAAAGCAAAGCGGAACCACCTACTTCATTGACACCAACCAGCTCAGGGTTCCTAGAGAAAGCATGGAGGTCATGTCACCTCTCAAAAATGGGATGAGTAAGTTTTATTTGTGTCCTGTTTAATTGTATTTTTTTCTTTTCCTCAAAACAATAATGACCATCATATGTTTATTATTTGTCATCATTTCCAGAAAATGCTCACTGAAATGGCAATCGATAGTTTGTATACAACAAAATCCATATCAATCATATTTAAAATGAAAATATTTTGGTGACAAATAAGGCTTATTTATGGATAAAGTGTGGCCTCAAAATTCTAATTGTGTAACTGTTATATTTATTTTTGCCACCTGTCATTGTCCTTCAAACCACATGATTTATTTTATCTTGTGTAGGCAAGACGTTTAAATAATTTTTAGTATATTATAGAGTTTAGCACAAATTTCCATTCTTTTATGTATTTTGTTACATACAGGTCAGAATAAATATGTTGCTTCATTTATTCACAAAATATCTGTTGTACTGAATGACTGTTAAACTGAATTACCATGTTTTTACCTTTTATATTGTTGTCAAAGTAGTTTGAAACATTAAAGTAGACTCTTGTGATGCACTTAAGTAAATTCTAGGATAAAACTGAAAACTTTAATTTTTCAAAATTTATCGTTCTTCATTATGCATGGAATGATAACTGGTTTCAAGGTTTACAGTGGTTTGGAAAAGTCAAGGTTTTAGGTCAAAGCTAAAATTTTGTTATGCCGCACCTAAGGTCTAAAGGTTTTTAAATGTGTTTTTTTTTGTGTTAAGAAATCTGCATTTTTGAAACTAATGAAGAGAGCAGAAGTCAATGATTTATTTAAATAGTTTAACCTGACATGTTTACTGCTCAAACATTATAAATTACAAATTAAATTAAAATAAAATTAAATAAAATTATAAATGTTTCCTAATATGTATATGTATTCATAAATGTATTCGTTCAATGGGGCAAAACATTTTCACATTTTTTTTACCCAGATATATAAAAAGAACTCAGAGCAGTAATCACAATACCGTGAAACCTTGATATTTTTATCCATGATTATCATACAATCAGAAACTTATACCGCCCCATGCCTATTCTTCATTCAGCCCTTTCGAACAGAATCAAAATGAACAATTTTTAAATACACTGCTTACTTGAGATGGATGTAGAGTAGGGATATAATTGTAAGGATTGTGATTTTGAAAGTATTCTAAATGAATATGATAATTGTGTAGGGCTGTAATAAGTGCTACAGCAAGATTGCAATCTAAGCACTGTTTCTGTTTTCTTTCTATATTCTGACTTTTTTTTTTCAGCCAAAAACCAGGAATGCCAGTTTCAGACTAAATGTTTTAGTCATCCAGTGCATTTTTTCTTTAGTAGCACATTAAAAAAGATGTTTAGCTGAACCCATGATCCTGGGGATTCATGTAATTGCAGTGAATGGTGATCAGTTTTTCTATTAAAAATAAACGCATACAAATGAGTCCTAATCTCTTTGACTCTTTTGCCCGCCCTAATACACCTTCACTCTCTTCAAAACTTAGACTCCTCACAATCACTGCCATGTTTAACATTTGCACATTTAAAATTGGCACATATTCATTGCATTACATTATACTGATTCATTCATTTGAACTGCACATACCCACTGTTCATGTACATCTGTAATTATGTTTATCTATCTGCACACTTCTGACTATTAATAGCAATCTGTACATATATTCATTTATTTTAAATCTCTGTTCATAGCTAATACAGCCTGTATATAATGTTGATAGTACATCCATCTGTAAATATTACCATTTCTATAACTGCACTTTATAACTTATATCTGAATCCTGCAGTTGCTGCTATTGCACTCCTGGTTAGACTTAACTGCATTACGTTGCCTTGTCTTTGTACATGTGTATTGACAATAAAGTTGAATCTAATCTCATCAATAACCATGGCAAATAGTTTTGATGCAAGCTTTGAAGCTATTATGATGCAAGCATGAGAGGACATGTTTGATGAAAGGTCAGGTGATGCAGTTTGTTGATGGATATTGGTGTTTGCATCACCAGCCCTCATCATCAAAAGTGACAAGACTGCATTCGCACATGTGCTGAGCACTGTTTACATAGGTTGTAGATTAAAGCTTATAATATTGTAAATAATGACAAATTTCTTCCACGGACCAACTGTTTCAGTTCACATGACCTCCCTGTGTCATCAGAAGACATGGTAATTGATTTCATGGTAACTCATTTGTTTTTGTTTATTTTAATCTAAAAAAACAAAAACAAATCACCTTTCACTGCCATTATATGAATCACCAAGGACCACAGATTTAGCCAAAAGTCTTCATGTTCTACTGAAGAAAAAGTCACCTACATCATTAAAGACCTGTGTATAAGTAAATTAACAGGAAATTTGTGTGAACTATCCGTTTAAGCAAATCACTTTTGAAAAAAAGTGATGTGACATCTTTCACTGACTCAAATACCCATCTATTTCATGTGTTTTTTTCCCTTTCTAAAGTTGAGGACTGGGACAGTTTTCAAGCCATTTTAGATCATACCTACAAAATGCACTTCAAGTCACAGCCCGGTCTGCATCCAGTCCTGATGTCAGAGGCCTCGGTATGTAAATATCATGGCATAGAACTCGAACCTGCAGAAAACATCACGTGTGTAATCTGCTAGGATGCTTCATTTGACTCACGCGATCTTGATTTGTTCATCCTGCAGTGGAACACACGAGCGAAAAGAGAGAAGCTGACGGAGCTGATGTTTGAGCATTACAACATTCCCGCTTTCTTCTTGTGTAAATCAGCTGTGCTGTCAGCGTATCCTTCATTGAAAATGTTGCATACATCTTTGTGAAAGGCATTGTCATGTTTAAAGGTGGCTAAAGCTTGCACTGAAGCAGAGGAATGATTAAAGATGATTTCTATTTGATGTACAGCCATGTTATGCATATTGAAAGTTCAGAATGTTAAATCCTTTACTCAGCATTTCAGGTTTGCCAATGGACGATCCACAGGCTTAGTGTTAGATAGCGGAGCAACACATACTACTGCTATTCCAGTGCATGATGGTTATGTCCTACAACAAGGTAATTCAATTCAACACATTAAGACTTCAATATTAATATGCTAGAATTTAATTTGTAAAATAAATTATTAATTTTTAAAGCGTTATACAAAATATTACACCAAATTAAGATGTTATACAGTGAATCTGTGGACTTAATATGTTTTTATTATTATTTTATGATAAATAAAGTAGTTCATCCATTTATGGCAATAAAAGGGATTTCTATATATGTATACAGTGGTCAGCATATATGAGTACACCCCTCAAAAATCTCTTTTAAATTAATATTTTCTATAGAATGACTACAAAATTATATTTGTGCATAAGCATTAGATTAGTTATTATTGAAGCCAGATCTGGAGCTTATCTAACAAAATAAATTAAGATAACAGTAAACTATTTTGTAAAATTGTAAATTAAAAAAAAGATCAAGAGAAACAAAAATATATAGAGAATTTGGTATAAATTTTGTAGCTTTTTTTGCAATATTTTGCATGAATTATATTTCTATTTCTGAAGATGTTTAGTGACTAAAATGTTATTTTATTAAATTTAAAAATATATGTTTAATAAGTTTGTTTTGTTCAAATGCACCAAAATGTATGATCTATGTTCGCTTAGAAATGAATCAAAATATTCATATTTAAAATGGGGTGTACTCATTAATGCTGAGCATATATATTTAACTTTTATTTTGTTTCTGCAATCTGTTTTATAATTTTCCAGGCATCGTAAAGTCTCCTCTTGCTGGTGACTTCATGAGTATGCAATGTAGAGAGCTGTTTCAAGAGTTAGGTGTTGAAATAGTGCCTCCTTATATGATTGCATCAAAGGTAAGGCCTTTTGAAGGTTATGATTCTCAGTTGATAAAAATGTTTGAATCAAATAATTTCATTATGTTTTCATTAAAGGATTCAGTTCGTGAAGGCACTCCTGCTAGTTGGAAGAAAAAGGAGAAACTACCTCAAGTTACCCGATCATGGCATAACTATATGTGTAATGTAAGTTATCAAAGCTATCATTAATGGAGATATGTGAAGAAAATCTTAAATGTTGCAATTTGTGATTTCAGACCGTCATCCAGGATTTTCAGGCCTCTGTGCTTCAGGTGTCAGATTCACCCTATGATGAACAGTAAGCTCAGTTTCTTTCCTTTCACTAATACAGCTTAAATAGCTTGTGGTCAATATCAGTGATTTATTTAGTCATAAATCAATGTTTTAATACAGCACTTTTAATAAATTTATTTAAATGACATAATGCCTTTAACATTTGTATTCAAAGAAACAAGTGAAACCTGAAAGGCATAATGACTGTCTTCATGGAAATATTAAAGGGATAGTTCACCCAAATTGAACTTTTGGAAACCGATAACTTCCATAGTAAGAAAAATAAATACTGTGGAAATAATTTCTAAATTTTTCTTAATCCTAGAACTACCGAGGTGGTCATTTTGACCATTTTTTATTTGTTTAATTGAATAACTTTGTTGAAATAAGAACCCCATATCTATAATACCCTGACTTTTCCTAAATATCTTTATATTTCTTTCTAACATTGCTATTTTATTAAAATGACAAAACACTCTTGAGTATTTTTACCTGTAATTATATATTATATAGCAACTCTTTGCTAACATAAACATCTTTACTTCAGATATGTCTTTCAAAACAGCAAATTCGGGCCCAATCACAATTCTATTTTTGTACCCCTACCCCTTCCTCTTCTCCATGGCCCTTAAAACTGAGTGTGAAGGGGAAGGGCTTCAAAATGTACCCCTAAGAAGTGGGACAGCACTACAGCACCTGCACACATTATCATGTCGTTGGAATCTCTTACTTCATATGAGATCAGACGATTATGACTGCTGTAGATATTCCAGTTGTGTTATTTTTTTGGTATTTATATTCAGGAAATCACTGAACGCTTTTATTATGTTATTTTAAGGATCTTATGTTGCAATAAGATTGTAACTGTACTGTGCATTTACACAGTGGCCATATTCATCTACAAAAAAATAATAATAATTTGTGGATCTCCTTACTTCCGGGTGCAGCAATCCTGTTGTATGGTGGCTGGTGTATTCTGGGAAATTTTCTTACCCCTTGGTTTCGAGTGTGGTCCTGAAAAAAGGGGCTATCTACCCCTTCCCTTTAGCCTTACACCTTTAAGCTAAAAAGAATTGGGACAAATTGGGCCTCAGTGTCTCAAAAAAAGCCTTCTCCCCTGCTTGTGAAAATGAAAGTGAGGTGCGGACATTCACGGGTTGTCTCGTAGCATAATTATACATTGATATGCTGTATTACCAAAACATCTTATTTTTAATTATTAATAAAATAATTGTAGGGTAGTGACTTCTAAAATGACTTTATTATCTCAATAGAAGATTTGAATATACATTGGAAGTGACAATATGACATATTTAATGAGAATGGTCAGAATGGCGGCTGTGGTAGTTCTAGTAGTTCCAGTGTTAAGCTTAAATTTTTCAATATTGATGATAATTGGAAAATGTTTATCGAGTATAAAATCAATGATCATCGTCAAATTCTGCTTGGCCTTCAAATTAATACATTACATTTCTATTTTAATATACAATTAAAAAGCATTTTGAATTGTAACAGTATAACAATATCACTGTCTTTTACACTGTTTGATCAAATGACTTAACAAAAGAGTTATCTTCCAAAAACATTCAAATAATCTCCCAGACCCCAATCTTTTCAGTAAAGTGCAATAACATTTTAAGTTAAATTTAAACTTTTGAATATGTTTATTTATTTATATATTAGCCATGATGGGGGAATTTACCACATTGTTACAATCTGCCCTTCTCAGAGTGGCTGCCCAGATGCCCACTGTTCACTATGAGCTGCCTAATGGCTACAACTGTGACTTTGGAGCGGAAAGACTTAAGATTCCTGAGGGTCTTTTTGACCCTTCAAATGCTAAGGTGAGAAATATTATCCTTGAAGCGTAGCATTAAATTTAATTCTAAAATTGCCAATGTTTTACCCTTTTTTTAAAACTGTCCTAAAATGTTTTCACAGGGTCTATCAGGGAACACCATGTTAGGAGTCGGCCATGTTGTGACCACCAGCGTTGGCATGTGTGACATTGACATTCGACCGGTAAAACATTGCTTTTCATACCCTTTCTACATTATTTGTATCTTTGCTACCAAGGTGATTTAAAGGTCATGTGAAGAAGACAGTAGCTCCTCCCCTTAAAAAAAAAAAAAGTTTTTATCACAGCTCTGTAAGTGAGAGGGGTTGAGATGAAGTGCATTAAATGAAAAGCAAATGTGAAGTGTCTGTCAGATACTAGAGAGAATTTGATTGATCAAGCTTTGATGAGAAACTGAAGAATGTGACAAAAAATGTTGATCCATTTAGAAGCAAGTGGCAGACTACAAGCTTTGAATGTTTATATGAGTTTTATATTTTTTCTAAAAGTGAATTTGTCACTGTTTTGGAGCACACTAACTTATCGGTATGCTTAAAATTGACAAACTGAAACGAACATCTAAAACTCTTCATTTTAATTTCATGTAACTTTTAATCTTCTGACTGTGTGTGTGTGTGTGTGTTTAAAACAGGGTCTGTATGGCAGTGTGGTAGTTACAGGAGGAAATACCCTCATTCAAGGCTTTACAGACAGACTTAACAGAGAACTCTCGCAGAAGACACCACCTGTAAGTGGCACATCAGTTCGGATCTCTTAAGTGCTTTTTTTTAATGGCAATGTTAATTGTGTGTGTGTGTGTGTGTGTCCTCTGCAGAGCATGCGTCTTAAGCTAATAGCCAATAACACAACTGTGGAGCGCCGATTTAGCGCCTGGATTGGAGGATCCATCCTTGCATCCCTGGTAAGTAATGTTCACTACAACTGTCATTAACAGATTTTACTTGCATGATTGTTGAGGCCAAGAGAATTCATTCAAATACAGAGAGGTTTCACAATATTTAGAAACATTCAGGGGAAAAAACTGTCAAATTAAAAATTATCAGTTTATTTTCTTTTCTGAATATAGTCATTATTTTTACAAATAATGAGCTGACGTTGATGCTCACTAAATAATGTTCTGAACACAAAACATAAAAAAAGCTAACTTTATTCTTGTAAAATGTTGCCTGAAAACGTTTTATCTTAGATTAATGTAAAAGACTTATAACATTTTTTGTTGCATTTGTTATATTTTGTTTTACCCATTAAGATGCACGATATTAAAAAAAAAAATGTATACAATAATTATTATTATACAGTATTATACAATACCGATACGATACAGCCCTTACCAGTGGCCAAATGTACACAGCCTCAGTAGCTGAATGAGACTCAGCCAAACTCTTCAGCTCCTCAACTTCTCAAAGTTTTATTATTGATTTGTGCTGCATAAAACAGTGCTTTATTTGCTAATCATTTATGCTTCATTCTAGCTATTTCTTTTGTAGCTAACTTTCAATGTAAAAAAGCTAGTGTTATTGTTAAGATGTTCACCATTAGCATACCGCCTTCATTCAGGACTAACATCACAATATAATGACTTCTGACAAACGTTTGTGTCATTTTTAGGGAACTTTCCAACAAATGTGGATTTCAAAACAGGAGTATGAAGAAGGTGGCAAACAGTGTGTTGACAGGAAGTGCCCTTAACACGTTCCTTCAACAGCTGGTTGCCTTCAGAAAATGAAATCAAAATAAATAACACCTCCACCTAGTAGAAAAAGCCTTGTTAGTGGACTCAGGAACTAAGGACACTTGCTGTTATTTTTAGTGCAAACAAACCATATTTTAAACAGTTTAACATGGTTGCACTCTTTTCTACTCTACACAATATTTTCATATCCAGTTTGGCAACACAAACTTTTCCGACCACCTAATTCATTTCAGAGTAACAGTGACAAGGTTATGGGGATATGCGAAACCTCAATTCTATGTTTAGGACAGTTACTGTTTTTTTTTATTTTATTTTTTTTATTTACACCACTTTGTCACTTTCTAGAAAATGGATCACAGAAAACAAATGTTTGTTATGCTTTTAACAACTGGATCAACTGATTGAGGAATAAAATTGTTTTTGTTAAACTGGTCTGAAGTTATCTTGTCTTGTCAATGCAGTGATTGTGTAGGGCTTTGCATCACCAGCGATGTCACAATACGATACATATCATAACACAAAAGTCACAATATGATGATTATCCCGATACGGGTCAGTTTTGTAATTACATTTATTTAGAACAGTATTACGGTTTTTATTGAACACTGATTGTCCAGTATTACAATAGATTTATCATTAACAAAAAACTAATTACATAAAGTTACAAAGAAAAAAAGTCCAGATCTTCATTCTGGTTTTGAAGTTTCTGGCTCAATAACTAAAGTATAGTGGCAAGTGCTGAAACATGTCAGTGATAAAACAAGACTAGAAACGTAGTCAATACAAGTCAAACAATTGAGGTTTCAGTAGAATGTCTCACACTTGTGAAGCAGAAACTGACATTCTCAACACTGCTATATGGCTGTACACAGTGTTGGAGGTAACATTACAAGATACACAAGTTACGTAATTACTTTAAGTAACGAGAAAAGTTATGCATTACTTTAAAAATCATGTGTTACTTCTTTAATTAGTATTTTAAAAATAATTGCTGACTTAAAATTAACGTAGTCATGTTGAATCACACACTTAATGAGAGAATTGTACTTATGCAACACAAGTATTCTCATTTTAAACGCATCCAAGAAAAAGAAAATGGGACTGTTTTAAATGACATTGATTTTTAATTGACTAAAAAGTTAGGCCAGACGGAATCTGCAGATGTTTTTTGCTGTTTCTTCTGAATTATTATGGGAGTATCATTACTAAAACCTTAATATATTAAATAAACATATCTTTTTAACTTTTATTTAATGTTTAAAATGCAAATCCAATTAGATTCACTTTATTTGGTAAACAAAGCAAATCTCTCATGTATCTACTAAAAGAAAGAAAATATTACTGTACAAACTGCATTGTACACAAATCAAATGAACATTTTCATATTAGTTAATATTACTGTAATTAATTTAAAAACTGAATAAATATAGATTTACACACATTTATTCAAGTAAATTAACAGAAATAATGATGGGCTAAAAATCTGCAGGGCCTTCTAAAAAAACAAAAAGTAGCCAACACATTGCTTTAAAGCAGGGGTGCTCAACCCTGTTTCTGGAGATCTACTATCCTGCAGATTTCATTTGCAATCCATATCAAACACACCTGCCTGAAATTTTAAGTGCTGTTCAGGTTCTAATTTCTCGGTTCATGCGGGTTTGATCAGGGTTGGGGCTGAACTCTTTAGGAAGGTAGATCTCCAGGAACAGGGTTATATATAGGGTAAATGACGGTGTAGATTATACAGTGTGCTTTTAATATAAGAGCTCCTCTAAAAAAAAAAAACCCTGCAAGTTCTGAAAGATATCAAACCTCAGCCAGGTAAGAAAACGTAACACATAAGTAATGTAACACATTACTTACCATAAAAAGCAACCAAGCAACTAAACTAGTTACTTTTTTGGAGAGTAACTGATTATTGTTATGCAATACTTTCAAAAGCAACTTCTCCAACTCAAATGGCACGACTCGTGTCTAGTTTCTTTCTCCAGTTGAGTAACCCCCAAATTTTGATTTTACTTTTGTTGGTGGTGACAAAATGCTCTGATCTATTTTAAATTGTGCTGCTGCTCACATTTCCAAAATGGCCACTTGATAATATGTTTAGGATATGCGCATCGAGGGTTCACGATAATGTATCCATATTCTGAGCACTAGTGTACTCCTGGATGTGTATCTAGGCATTGGCTCTCATCTACAGTAAGTTTCGACTCGTCTTCAGAATTGTTTATTCAGTAAAACTTACTTAATACAAGGTAAATACAAACCCAAACACCACAGTTTCACTGTTACAAGTTGTAATTTATTATTTGACTGTACAACATATTTTGTAATTCTGGAGAAATAATAAAAAAGTTGATGTGATGAAAAGACAATGTTCAATGGGCTTATGCAAGTGCAGTCTTTTTCTGAAACATTGCAGCGAGCCTTTTTTGGTTTCTCTTTTCTCTTCTTTCTTTCCGGACTTTGCTCTTCAGGTACTTTTCAATTCTCAACCTAAAATGCATCACAACAGAAATAAACATCACTGCACAACAACTAAATATAATTAATCTATATTTTATAGAAATATTAATATAAAGGCAAAGACATTTCACTGAGAAATGGAACTTGAAAAAGTGATAAAAGAATGAATGAATATAGTGACAATAAGATTATTACAGAGCCCCCTAATAACACAAATAGATGTTAGGGGAACGCAAAAGCTCTGAAGTATAATTCATCTCCCATATCATACCTTTAAGATTCGAGACATACCTTGTGTAAGGGAAAACGTGTGCAGGTTCATAGAATTTCTTCCTTTTGTATCTTGAATTCAGGTACCAGGGGATCGGGTATTCCCTGTAGCGGTACCTAATAAACAAACATGCTCATAGTAAGTTATGTTTAACACAAAGTATACTCTTAAGAAAACGGTTGCCAAAACAATCAATTTACTTACCAGAAGTTTTGGCCAAAGACATTTCGTCTCCATTCGCCTGGTCTGGCTTTCTCTTGTCCCGTCTGCAGTAAGCGCAGGGCGTCCTCACGCTCTCTCACAACAGTGTCCAGACGGATCATAGACCTTTCAACCTATCCAAAGAATTCAGAATGAATAGAATAGAATCCATGTCCTCCTTCACCCTGATAACACCTCAGGACTAAGAGATTAACTTATGTCCTTTGGGAATTTAATAAACTGTTTGATTTGATTGATAACGGGCAGATTCAAGCTAAAAGCCAGTATGCAGTGTTTTGTTTTTGTTTGTTGGGTGTATCAAATGTCCCATTCGGCAGGAGCATGTATATAAACCACACGCTATTAAAAAGACTGCTTGCTAAATGGGTCCAAGTAAAGTCTATTCTCTTTTATTTTGAACAGCAATATCACAATGACTGTAATATCAAGAGCATTTTGCAGTATCAACCACATATTTATATTCATATTCACATGTGTACAATTTTGTAATAAAGTTCAAGCAGTCTTAAATATAAATAAGCTTTAGTTTTACCTACTCAAAGAAAACACACTTTATTAATGTATCAAACATCAAATAATAATAACGACATGTACAGCTTGTGTTCTGCTGTTCAGGGAGTGGCGGATATTAATTTATTTATATATACAGTGCTCAGCATATATACCTTTAAATCTTTTCTAAACCTTTTAAATTCATATTTTTAATAGGAAGCTATACAATATTATATTTGTGCATATACATTAGTCAGTACTGAAGCCAAATCTGGAGCTTATGACAAAAAGAAAACTTACGATAACGGTCCAAAAAGCAGCACACCCACATTTATGTTATAGGAAAATATTAAATACAATATTTCAAAAAAAAAAAAGGAAAAATCAAGAGAAGCAAAATTTTGTTACAATTTTAAAGGTTGTAACTTTTTGCAATATTTTGCTTGAATTATTTAATTGTATTATTTCAATTTCTAAATATGTTTGGTAACTAAAATATTATTTTACAGTTTTTACAGACGCTTGGATACATTTCTCAATACTTAGGTCGCTTTTCAAAATTCTCCTAACTGACTTTCAGCTTGGCAAAGCAGTTTATTTCACATTCAAAATGCACTACAACTACCAGAACACTTTATTCAGGTCTCAAATATACTCATTCTTCTAGAACACTAGCACTGGTTGACAGCCAACAAACACACTTTGTCACCCACAAAATGATGACCTAAAAACACTAACAACATGTAGCATTCCTCAGGGTTTTCTTGTGTAAAGCAAGGACACATCTCTGTTTATAATTGCAATATAAATTGTTTATAACTGCAATATATGTTACTGGAATGAATCGGACATGATGCAGATTTTTTCAGTATTTGATGTTGTTTATTTATTTTTATTATTTAACTAATTCCAAAATACAAGAATTTGTATAGACACCATCCACTGATAAAGATACAATAGTAATGCTAATCTGGCTGGTTAAACTGCATTTTTAGATTTGAAATATGTTTCAAGAAAATGTGGCTGTTGAATTTTGCTGTCCAATTCAGTTTTGCATTATGTTCTTGTTTTGACAGAAGTTTAACATTTTAAAAACTGTATGTAAGCATATGCAAAATGTCCTGTATGTACAAAGATTGTTGGCAGTTGTTGTGTCTGAGTGAGAAAAGTATTCATGAAATTTAAGAGATTTAGTCACTGAATGCATTTTGTGCCAAAACAATGATAATTGATCTTCAGTTTAGCCCACATGGACTTCTGTTGTGCTCACTGTAAAAAGTGTTGCAAAAGTGATCCAAGTATTGAGAAATGTGTCCTAGCATCTGTAAAAAAACTGTAATAAATATATCTGTTTAATAAAATCTGAAAAGGGAGTAAAATCTCTCCATGCCAGGGGCAGCTGCCTTTAAACTAGCCACAGCTAAGTGCGCCTGCCACAAATACCTGCCACTTCTGCTAGAGGCAGCTGCCTCTAAACCTGCCACTGCTGAGCGCGCTTGCCACGGCACCCGCCACGGTTTTATGTGCCTGCCACAAATACTTGCCACTGTTTTGTAAGCCTGCCACAGCACACGCCATGGTTATGCACGGCTGCTCCGGCACCCGCCACGGTTATGCGCGGCTGATATGGAATCCGACATGGTAATAAGCGGCTGATACAGAATCCGCTACGGTTATATGGGCCTGCCACGGAGCCCGCCTCTTTTATATGCGGCTGCTACAGAAATCATTGCAGTTATATGCGCCGCCACAGAACCGGTCACGGTTAATGGCCACACTGTTATGCGTTTCTGGATTTCTAGCCTACACCATGAGCAAAAGACATCTGTGCAGCCAGGAAAAGCTGGAATTAACAGGGAATTTTAATATCCTGATTTCAGGTCATCCACAATAAAAAAGAGGTTTAAGCTTACAGCAAAACACCTTGGAAAAAAAGAAAAAGGTTTAGGGTCAACTGTAGCCTAAAAAGACAAT